AAATTTATGACATCACTTACCCTGTTCCGACACCTTCGATAAAACGAGCCTCGAATCCGATTTTTATGCAAACTTCAGGAAGGGATAAAAAATACTTCAACGACTCCGACGGTTACTTGGCTGTTGGTTGTGTTCCTATTGGGATTTCATTTCACTTTTCTTTCTTCGACAAGAACGAACGAAAGAAACCAAAGAAGAAAGGGAAATTCTCGCTTGCTGCTACTTTGAAGAAATCTGATAACGACATTTTAATTCCGAAAATCGTTCAGATTCCCTCAAGACGTAATGTGATCGCTTATGTGGCTATTAATCTTAGCTCTTTATCGAAATAATTTTCAATATCTAATACATAAATGTTTGTGAATGTAAGTATGTTTTAAGGAAAGTTTAATGCAACGTGAAACAAGATTTATGTGGTGAAAACGGTTTAATGGAAGAAATCATTGTGTGGAAATTACTAAAATGTCTTGAAAATCTATTATTAGCAATCTCAGAAATCAAAACTTATACTTTGCTAGACGTTAATAATGAGATAAACAATTTAAATTTGTCTTTTCAATTTAAATAACTGACAACATCACCATCAAAAGCAGTTCACAAAGTGTCATGAAAACTTAAAACTTAAGAAGAGTTTTAATTATCATCTTTTTGCACCGGAAGGAGTGCTTGAAAAAAAGATAAATTATTTATGCAAATTACTCTTTCGACAGTGAAAATGTTTTATTCAAATGAGCCACATTCCCTTTGCAACAACTTTTCGAGAAGCCTCAAAGTGGTGCGAAGAAATTTCTTAATTTCATGTCGTTGAAAAGTCTGTGAATTAATAAGCGTAAAAAGTGTCGCAATTAAAAAGTCATTGCTCAAAGTTTAATTTAATTATGTGGTTCACTCTTACGAATATCATTTTGAGAAACTTTTCCCACCGTGCAAGGTCGCAAAGTTTGAGGATTATTTATGTGATGATGATTATGAGGAATCAGGGCAATGCTGAAAAATTAACATAAACGGATGCTCGCAATTTTCTACAATTGTTGTGAAAGAAAGTCTTAAGAAAATTTATATGTACGAAGGAGACACGGAAAAAGGAACAAGGGGAGTTAATTTAAAAGTTTTTGTACGCTCGCTACAACGTCTTTCTTTAAATCGAAAGCTAATGAGACAATGTCTCAAGGCAATCATTGTGATTGAAATAAGAGATGATCAAGACAGTCTTTTACTCACAGTATGATAAAGTTTTAGATTGCAGAACGCTAATTGCTGAAATGATAACTTTGGGTTAAGAGTTGGAACTTTTTTTCTTTCTTTTTCTGATATCGTTGAAGACAGCGAAGACAAAGATGTCAATTATCTTTCTCATCAAAGCTTAATAAACGAGATTTCCTGTAAATATCTACATAGTTTCTCAACATCTCTTATATCTTTGCAATTAAGTTTGATTATAATGGAAATTGCTTTTCATTTTCATGATGATAGGGTTGAAATATCTATTTATAAGATAATAATGAACATTGGATTTCTGATGTCTTAAAGGTTGACATTCAATATATGATTTCGTATCTTTCCATTTCACTTCCGTGTTGAACAACAACTGAACAATATTTCAAATATATGTATTTATGTCACATTCAATCCGAGTGGATTAACTCAATTTCACGCTTGCATTTTGCTGCAAAATTTTAATTTTTTCCCTCTTGAATGACATTCGAGACTCGTCAATCATGAGATATGTGAATTTTATTGTTATTGGTATGACGTTCTCGTTTGTCTATCAACGTTGAAACCGATCTCGGAAACAGCATAGCATTATGTTTTCAGTTATTGTTAATTGATGCAAATTTTCTGCACTACACGCAATAGAGAATTTCATTCGATTTCAATTTTTAATTGGATTGATTTCCATACATCAGTTGGATGGCTGTTGGATGGAAAAGTTCTATATAAATTGGAGAAAACTTTTTCCAGGGAAGCATCATAAATATTGAGTGTTGTTTAAACTTTTCAATGAAATTCCTAGTCTTTATGTAATGTAACCATCAGGAAAAAAAGAAAAAAATTAAAATTGCTAACGAGTAAAAAAAGAGAAAACTTTTCAATCAATGAAGTTTGAAATAAATTAAACAGTGATTTCAATAAAATTGCTACACTACTGTTAGCAAACTATCGATACGGAGCATTTTTTTAAATCATATTGTGATGTTTTGCATTTCATCATGACTTCAAGAAGAATGCAAACATAAGCTTCAGTTTCTCTCGTTGTAAAATAAAAGTTACAAGCGTAAAGGAAGAAAAATCAATTTTATTCTTTTCCAGAGTTTTCAAATAAAGTAAATTGAATTGTTGGGTTTTATTGCTGATTGCGGAACAATTTGTATTGTTTTTGGTATGCAATGAAATATTCATTTCAATGAAAATACCGCGGGAAACAAAAAGAAATCAATATAAAAAAAGAAAAAGAAACAATCATGAAAAATATTTGTGAAGAATCGTGAAATTTGTTAGCGTCGATTTCATCCAATTTTTCAGTCATAAAATAAAATTTGATATAAATTGTTCATCCTAAATTCTCCGTGAAATATTAGAAAGCAAAAAATTTCATAAATCGTTGAAGGAGATAAAATAATATTGGATTAATTCTTTCTTAAATTGATTTTATAGCCTTTAGCAGCTTTGATTTTCGTTTTGAGATTAATTTGCTGTCATTTCACCAGAAAAACCTACTTTTGAATAAATAAATTTGAAGGTTTTTAGTGGAAGCTTCCACTAAATTATTCTTTAAGCCTTTAATTAAACTTTCTTGAAAAAGAAATGAGATTCAACATTGAAATCTGAGAGAAGCTTGGAATCAATTTCAGTAAAATAATTTCTCAAGAGTTTGAATTAAACCTTAAATATCATTGAACTGTCCACTCTTAAATGAATGAATGAATGAACAAAAACTCATTAAAAAGCAATCAATGCACTTTAACAACTCAAAATGCTTTGAATCGTGAGAATTCATTTGAAAAATGAAATGAATTTGAGTCTTCAATGTTGATGACTAAGTCAGAAATTAATGTTGCAGTTGATAGTGAGAAAAAATAATAAAACTAGCGAAATAAATTGCAAAAAGCTTAAAGCTAATATTTGAATTCCTTTAGCGCTTAATTATGTTGCTAATTAAGTGGGAGCAATAAATGTGAGAAATTTAAAACAAATATTAACCTTTCTCTGTTGAAATGAACTTTCATTCACCCAACCAAACAAATATATATGATGGTAGTTAATTAAAACGCAAATAATTGTGTTGAGCAAACAAAATTAAAGCTTAAGGAAGAGTAAAATTTATTTAGTATTCAATTTGGAAAGGAAAACATTATTTGAATGATTTCAACACCTACAACTAATTTAAAATAGAATTCCATAATCGCATCTCATTTTGAGAATCACATGAATAATCGAATAACCGAAACCACATCATGCCTTAAATGTAGGATGGGAAGGAATGGAGAAATCGGAAAACAGATTAATTTTAAAGCTACTTTCGAAGAACAATAAAGTTCTTTCCATTCAATATGTAAGCTCAGATTTATTGAGTGAGGAATCAAGAAATTGATACTAAAATTAGCATAAACGGATGCTCGCAATTCACGGCAATTCGAATTTAAATAAAGAAAAGTCGAAGTGAGTGAAAAAAACGGAAAAGAAACAAGAGGAGTCAATTTGGTGAACTTTCTTCTTTTTATTTTATATTTTTTGTTCGGATGCTTCCTTTAAAGTAGAATTTACGAATCAAGAGCAAATGAGGCAATAACTGGAGGCAACAGAACTCAATTGAAATACGCTAAAGTAAGATAGCAATTTACATTCTTTCCTTCCTTCGGCTTTTCATTCTCTTCGTCTTTTTTTCCCTCAAAAATGAACACATAAAAATAAATACTGAGAGAAAATGTTTCAAGACAACCTCAATTACCAAATTTTTTCGGTAAATTGTTCCTCGAAGAAGAAAAAAAAGAAAATAAGTGTAAGACTGAAGCCAAAGTTATTCTGCTTTGTGTGAGAAATATTTACTGTTCATTCATTGTAAGTAAGCGAGATGAGGGAAAATAAAAAGCAATGATTTCGTAGAATGTTGTAAACACTTCAAAGTTATTATCAAACTTTCTGATTTTATTTAATAACTTTCGCTTATGGTATCGTCTTCTGCTTCGGGAGAAAACTGGTAACAACTCAATTATAATCATGAGAAAAGTGTTCTAAAAGTCATAAAGATAATTTCATGGTCAATTATCCAATTATTGGATTGCAAAAAAGGGTGCAGTGGTGGTTGATTTCATTAGAAATCGATATCATCGTCTAGTTTGTTTTGACTTTATGGCAGTAATATTAAGATGTTCGTCTGCTTGGCTGCTATCGTGGGTAGATTGGAGTCTTATTGTTTCGTGTCAGAAGTCATGTCACGCTATTAGACCAATGAAAATCATTTTCCACACGAACTTTGTCTGCAAACTTTTTATTCCTTTCAAGCTTGTTTCCCTCATCTTATTTTTGTTGAAGTCTTTACGACACTAAAAGAATTTTTGAAAGAGTTTAAAATATTGCCTTGAGATGTTCGGTTTTCCCCTTTTTTAAATCCTAAAACATGCGCATTGAAGAAGAAATTGCATGACGTTCATGAATAAAAATGACCTCGTTTTATTTATGCAATAAAAAATAATTAAGTGATGCACTTGAAACAAACCCTCAGATATGAAATGGCAATTAAACCTTTTCCGTCTTTAGCAGATAGAAATTTGTCAAAACCGCGCCAGCGTCACTTGCATGGAGAGTTTAATTAGAGATTGATTTTTATTGGGTTATTTAAATTGATGCTCAAATGCATGACACGTTGAAATTGATGATTGCACCAGGATGTGGTAATTTGGAAACGCATATCGATGCATAAGCCATGAAGAGCGTTCTTGAAAATCATTTGAGCTGATAAAATTCCTCGCCACAAACGAGATATTCGAATCAGCATAAATGTCTGCATATATTTTCCCATTCAACTCTATGGCTCGCACATATGTTGAGTCATTCAGATTTAAATTTCACACAAAAATGAACGACCGAGTAAAATTATAAACCATCACTTTCATTGAAGAAAAGTTCCAAAATCATTTTGTGAAAGTTCAATTAAACACTTTGCAATATTTTGTTTCTCAAAGCTCACTACAGTCGCAATGAATTCAAAAATATGCTTCAAAGTTTTGACAACTCGAATTGGATTAACATCTGTTAAGTCATCAGAAGTTTTTTCATAAATATCATTTGTTTAACACGATTTTTGGTAAAGTTTGCTGTTTACCACAAAATTATTAAAAAAATATTTTGTATCAGTAACAATTTGAGCAGGTTTCGAACTTTAATTTAAGTTGTCATGAAATTTATGTTATCGAAAATGGCAAACAAGCAAAGAACTTATAAAACAATTTTCCTTTCTTAAAAAATCATAAAAATTGCATAGACGAGGAAGAAATGATGTTCTTGCATCATTTAAATTTTTCATCGCTCAACTCATGCAGTGAATGAAAAATTCATTTTTCTCATCTTTCCTTTCCATACAAATTTCTTGTTGATTGAGTGGGAAAATGAAGCTTCGCATCTGCCTTCAGTATTTTTTCAATAAACTAGGATTATCTGCTAGATGATGTCTTATTTATACTTAAGGATTGACAACTAAATAGCGGTTTGAAGTAAAAGATTATTTTTTGCATTTATTTGTACTTTGAAATGAAAAAAAAATCTGTCAATCGATAATTTTCCATGGAAAATTTTCTCCTGTTCTCATTTTAAACCGAGGATTGTTTTAATAACAGGGCGAAACATCAGTTACATTATTGCCTGAAGCCAACTCTCCTAAAGTAATGAAAGTTTTTAATGTTCAGGAATTGATGTTTACCCCTACACATGAATTTACATCGCACGCACAAAAGCCATAACTTTTAATTAGAAACTGTTTATTGTTTACCCTATCGCGAACAATTATTACTCAATTAGGCAATTAGTTAAATGATGGTTGATAGTTTGTTTTTTCAATCATCAATAAAGTTTCTCAATTTTGTACTTTTTTAAAAGAATTACCCATCAATAAATAATTATCATTAGCGATAACTGTGAAACTTTTTAAGCACATAAATTATTAATTTCGATACATATTTCAATATAAATTGAAGTTTTCCAGCTTTAAAATGAAATTTATTTCGATGAAAACAGTTTGATATTCTTTAATTTAAAACAACGTCAACATTCTCTGTTGCATGAACATCATTGTTTTAGCTATTAAAGAACATCAGCGTGAGCTTATAATGTCAGACTTCATTGATGTGGAAAAGGAGAGAAAGTGAAGTCACATGGAGAAAGATTCACTTCAACAAGCTACAATGTTTTATTCTCATATCGATGTCAGATTCAGAATATGTTCTGATGTTGATGTGGAAAATTCAATCAGTGCAGATCAACATGATGGAAATGATTTATGGGAGAAAAATGAAAATTTGATTGAATTTACGACCGAAATCATTTGCACAAATAATTTATCGCCATACAAGAATTTAATTGTAGCCAACGAAAACGTAGCCACTGAATCGCGAGAAGTGATTATTATTATTTCATTGCATATTGTGAGCGAAGTAAAGTCATGAATGGAAAATTCAACACCACAAACGTGGGATTTTAAATTATTTAAATAAATTTCATTTCACCATTGCATTCTCGTTTCATTTCATGTCTTACGAGCAAAGCTTCCGGGAATTTCAACTTTATTTTATGCAATGGAAAAATCTTCAAAAATTCCCCTAGTTAATTTATTATTCAGCCCACATTCATCCTAAACTGTTAATCTCTTGATGAAAAACGATTCATCATAAAAATTTCATGGGTTCGAAAAGTGAAAAGTAAAAAATAATAAAAACCTTCGTGGATGATTCATCTCAGAGAACTGAAAAGCTTTGTTATGAAAAAATTTATTGGAATTGTATTTGAGCTTTCCATAAGCTTCTTCAGCAATGTAATTTGAATTTCGCTAAACCTCATGTTCCCAATCAAAAAATTATTATTTTTATTTATTCTATTGTGCTGACACTGATTGCAAGCAATTTTCTCTCAAGATGCTTTTGAATATTTTTACATAAATGAAAAGCATCTTCATAAACTAATGAAATTTCTTTGAGAGAAATAGAAAATGCTTTGCTTTCGGAGAAAGGAACTTAATTGCTTGGAACATTTGAAACTACGTTTTCTATTTTAAATTGAAAGTTTAAATACCAGTTTATGAAAACATAATCGTAGATATTTCAAACACCCACATAATTTATGAATGTTAAAATAGTTTTCCATTTTAATTCCGATGCTTGTATAATGCAACAAATTTTAAGCTTCCTGAATCTTTCGACAACTATTGATTCAATAGTGGAGTAAGTCACATTTTCTCAACATAAGAAAGTTATTGCTGCTATTTTTACTTCATAAATTCATAAGAAAATATCAACGCAAAGTTCTTATATAAAGAAATTATTTAAATCTGGAAATTTGGTCTGTTCTGAGTCACAATAGATTTGGTTTTGTGGCAATTTCGAAATTCATGAGCATGCATAAAATTTTAGTATTTTCTTTCAAAACTTCCGACTTTTTTCTTACAAATGAGTCATTTGGAATAAAAAGTGTTTGATTAGTCAATCTGACATGGAAAATATCAATAAGATTATGAAATGAGAAGACAACAGAAATGATTTCATGAAAAACCCAATGATGAAATCTAATGCCAAATCTTTCATTTACTTACTTTGCTTGATTTGAGCTTTTTAAATAATTTTTGTTCAAAGAAACTCAACTGATATTGAAGAAAAATAACTTGCAGAACACAAGAAATCTTGAGAACATAAATAACAAAGCTAATAAAATTAAAAAATGATCTTGTTCAAATATTTTTCCACAAGCAAATTATAATATCAAATTTTGACTCACTTACTTTTATGTGCCTTTAATAAAATTAAGAAATAAAGAATAAGATAATTCATTTGTCAATATTTGATAAGCTTTTTAAATACTTTAAAGCTTTTTAATAACCTCAAAAGCTTTCTATTGAGTGGTGATAAAATTGATGACCTAATCTGAACTTAATAATAACAGATTGAGAGTAAAAGATAGCGATTATGTAGGACTATAATATTTTTGATAAATCTGCCCGTGAAGAAATACATTTTTATCTTCTAAAGAACTACAGAGCCACCTCCCGGAAAAGTTCAAAATTTAAATTTAAAAATTATCCGTTACATTTATATAAACGAGTTGTTATCGATGTTTAAATAATGTATTTTTGCTTAAAGATTAATATCATAATTATCTACCTTCACAACATTGAGAAAGATTATTTGTAAACATCCAAATTAGACAATTGTTTAAAAGAAAATAACAGTAAAGCATAATCCATATTCTTCATTAATTTTCATAGACTTCTCATCATTTTTATAAGATAAATGTTGCATGCTCAAGCATTTTTTTTTTAAATTAACCAAACCACGCAGAAAAAGAACCTTCGCCAAATTGGACCTTTCACTTCTACTGCCCTTTCTACTAAATTTGAAAGCATTTTTTTCTTCGCTATTATTAAATTGCCCTATCAGAAGTGTAATAAAAATTATGATTATCGTCGACTCTCAAATGTGGAATCTCAGTCGACGCTCTTTTAAATGAACCAGCATTTCTCATGAATGAAATTATCAAGTTTCGAATGCGATTGCGCGCCACAAATCTTAAGACATTCGCTAAGGAAGGCTTCTTGCCACTGTTGGACCATCATTGAAGATTAATTTGTAGTCGCGTCAGTTTGCCATCAAATCTGGAGTGTTTACGACAAATTTAAAACGGAAGTTAGAAAAATATACAAGATTTATTAAAAGGATATTTGAACTTTATCGATGATGAATTACATGTGGGTTTTTATTCTGATCGTGTTAGTTTTTGGAATATCAAGGATCGATTCGATTATTTTACACGAACATAAAGTGATGAAGGAAAGAAATTTTGGTAAAATCGTTTAGTTTATTAAAAAAAAATCAAAGGGTTAAAATTTTTAAATTAACAAATTTTATATTTAATTGTAGTGGAAGAAATGAAGTTCAGCATGAAATTTAATTATGTATTAATTGTTCTATCGTATCTTTCACATATCTCCTACTTCATTTCTTCACAACATGTTTTCTTTTGTGTATCATGAAGAAGTCTTTTGTTTTCTTTAAATTTCCTGTAACAAACGAGTTCATACAACATGCTTTCCAGCAACGAGTTTTTGAGTGAAAATAAACGAGAGTTTGACGGTTTAAAGGAGTGAAAATCCTGCACAAGAGATTTTTTTACGGCAATAATATTCCCAAAAATTTCCACATGTGTTGTTTCAAAATAAGCCTCGAGAATTGTTTATTTTTAATTGAAAAACTTTTGTTGCACAATTATGTTCACTTTTGTGAAAGTTTCTTCAAAAAGAATGTTCTGTAAAGAATTTCTTGTCTTAATTTAAAATCTTACAAAGCATAAAGACACAGGAAATGTGTTAATTCATTTTTAGATATGCTTAGAACATAAACGAAACTTTTTAATAAAATCAATGAGAAAATTACAGAAGCATGAATGTCAACATGTGACATTTCAAAGCTCATAATCCGTAAAGAATGAATAATTTGTGAGTTTTAACACCTTCAATGAAAATTGTGAACATCACTTGAGGCGGAAAAACCAGATTTTGTAATTCATTGTTACAAGAAAAACTTTAAAAGATTTTCCCCCAATTAAAACTAAAAATTTTCGATTATTGTTACAGCTGATCCGAAGTTTTCTGCTCCAATACTTAATGTAACTGTACCAGTATCAAGAGATGCAATTCTTACTTGTAAAGTTCACGATCTTGTCCAATATAAGGTGAGATGATGCTAATTGATTTTCCAACTTATTATTACCATTAACTTCGATATAATAGACCAGCAAAATATTATGAATTCTCCCTAAAAAAACCGCAATAAAAGTTAATGAATTAAGGGGATTCCTTACTTTGCTGTTCTCGGAAAAAGTCACGCCAAATGGAAATGAGAAGAGGGAAAACGAAGAAAAGAAAAAACTAAATCTTTCTTGGGGAAAATCTTTTACTTAGAGGGTGATTATTGCTTTCCCTAAAACCACGTTGTTAGGTTGGATAACCAAATGATGTTACTGAATTTTCCCAACCAATTACTTGCTAAAGAAATAATCAAAAGTAACGCCATTTAAATAAAATCCCAAATTCACTGACTATAAAATTCAAATCTAATATGTTCTAATAACAGCCCACTGTCGTCATAAATCAATTTACCTGCTTCTCCATCCTTCTAAAATATGATGTTTGCCACGTAATCATAATGTTCTTGTCGCTAAACTTTTATTGACCGGAAATGTTTTCCATTTTTAGGTTGCATGGCTTCGTGTTGACACACAAACAATTCTCACAATACAGAATCACGTTATAACAAAAAATCATAGAATTTCAATCACAAACACCGAGAAGAAAATTTGGCAGTTGAGAATACGCGATGTTAAAGAGTCAGACAAAGGCTGGTACATGTGCCAAATAAATACCGATCCAATGAAGTCTCAAATGGGATTCTTGAACGTTGTTGGTTAGTTTAGTGGCTTCTTTTCAACAATCTTTCTCATTTTATTTCGTTTTCTTTTTGTAGTCTCGCCTGATATTTTAGACGAACCAACAAGCCACGATATTATAGTGCAAGAGTTTGAAAACGTGACTTTGTCATGTACAGCTGTGGGATCACCAGGTTTGAACAAGTTCAATGAACTTATGAATGGCATTTGAAACTTTAGTTGTAATTTTTAGAGCCAACGGTGTTCTGGAAGCGAGAAAGGCAATCAAAACCACTAACTATTGATAACAAAGAATGTAAGTAAATTTTACAACATAAAGTGCATTTGAAAAAAGGTTTAATGAAATTGTTTCAGCTTACACACATGTTGGATCAATTCTTCAAATCCCTTTTATAACGAAAAATCAAGCGGGTGCTTATTTATGCATAGCATCAGTGAGTTGAAATTATTAAACATTTTAAGTAATTTAATATTTATTTTGAACCGTTTTAGAATGGAATTCCACCAACTGTAAGCAAGAGAATCACCGTCGTTGTTAATTGTAAGATTAAATCACTTATCAAGTTGAAGTTATCTCTACAAATGTATTTGTAATGAGCTCTTCATTATGTTAACAGTTAAACCGAAGATATTTACACAGCAACGCGTGGTTCATTCTTCGATTGGACAGACAGTGACACTCATATGTTTGACCGAATCATTTCCTAATTCAGGTTGTTTGAACAAAAGCAGTTAATTGATGTTTATGTTGGTTTAATGTTCAAAATATTTTTAGTAAATTATTGGATGCGCGGTCATCCTGACTTCATCAACAAGGATTACGTTTTAGGAGGAAATTATGAAAGCGAAGTTGACGCTGACGGTATCTTTAGGGTGTCCATGAAGCTCGTCGTGCAATTAGAGAAACCAATGGATTTCGGTATTTACAAGTGCATAGCGAAAAACGCCCTTGGAAGTTCCGAAGAAACAATCAAAGTTTTACGTAAGAACAAAGCTTTTCTACTTCACAAAACGTAGCTCAAAATATTTTTTATGAAGGTCATCTTGAAGTATAAATGTTTAGATATTATTTATTGAAATTAGTTTAATATTTCAAGTGTTAAATGAGTCATGAATTACTCATAAGGAAGAGAAGTTGATAATTTCTATTGACATTGAATATCTTCATCTCTTCACTTTCCATCTCATCCCATTTCATGCTTCACAGCATCCAAAATAGAAAATCAGTGGCGTTACTCAACCGGTTATACAGCTGATGGAACAGAGCTTACAAAAAACGGTAAATAAACAAGCATGCTTTCAAGTTCAAGGCAGTTTGTGTTGTCTAAATATCTATCGTATGCATATTTGCATTTCAACATCTCGGTCTGTTTATTATTTCTTCTTTTCTTCCATTTATCTTCTGAAATAGACACAACAACATTCGATGACGAGGTGAAATTAATCGAGACATTTGATAACTCCAGTTCTTCGTGGTTTGCACCGTCGCTTGGCTTTATTGTCATCACATTGATAACACTTGCTGTAATAGCCTTTTGACATCGAAGTTTAATACAAGAAATATTCTTAACCGTTGCTAAACCTCGTGCAGCTTTAGTCTAAACATTCCCAGAATTTTATTTTTATTTACAAATCTTTATTCAAACTTTTTGACTGTTAGATAAGATTTGCACAAAGTTAATATAAAGGTCTTAAAAATTATCAAAGCATGGTGAAAAATTGGAAGTTGCATCAAAACTTTTCTTTTTCGTATCAGAAAATACATTCAAATTAATTCTTCATTTGGTTCCCTGCTTCGTCCGAAATGACTTTGAGATTAAAAAATTTCTTCTAAATTTTATTCTACATAAATTGATGCTTTTGTTATTCATTTCCCATGCTTTCAATAGGACAAAAAGTTTACAAACATGTTAATTATGATGACACTTCTATTACATTAAGACAAAAATATTATCGATAAATAAATTTCATTCGTTTTCTTTCCTTCTGTTTATCAAATTTTTGTTCTTTTGTTTACTTTGAAACGATTTTTTTTATCTTTCAACTTCCCTTTTGATTGAAATATGTTTACATTCTGGCCTTATCATTGTATGGCTTTAAAAACACGTGAATTAAGCAACCTTAAAATCATTTGAACAATGTAAAAAATGTTGAATTGAGGAAATTGTTTTATAAAAAAGAGAAGCTGAATGTTTGTTGTGAACTTGACTTCCATCATGATCATTCATATTGTTAAAATATTTATTAATATTTTTCTGTACAAATAGGAAAGCAAAATGAGGTTTAAAAGAGAAAAACTAATCTCGGTTGCAATTCATGGTTCACTGACATACATAGTTTTGACACCTTGAGAATGCTTTATAAACAAAATTGATAATGATAAGAATATTATCAGTTGATTTGAACGCCTCAATTATAATCAATTTAAGAATGGAGATAAGTAAAAGTAGACTAACTTGTGTCTGGTTTTTCAAAAGTCTTGGAAACAAACTTAAAAATGACATTAAAATACAAAATTCAACATGCATCCGTTGAATTAAACGGAAAAAAACAAAAAAACAAAGTCCAAATACGTAGAAAATGAATCATTTGTAAAGTAAACTGTAAACAACGTTAATCAACATCAAAAAAATTAAATTGATTATAATTGAGTTTGTTGTTTGCTAGCCGGTATTTGTGAGCGGACGACTGATTGAGTTCGCTTGTAGCATCATCCGAATTTCATATCGAAGTTCTCGAGGAAGGTCCGCTAAGTTGACATTATAACGAATAACAGCCAAAATGCAAAGTGTCTTCAATGATGGCTCGAAATCTAACACATGCGTATCATTGTAGTCAACCAATTGATTTGAGCTAAGATTTTCTGCTGACGCGATTGAATTGTTCTTAGATGGGCTGCGAAAACAAGAAATTTAAATTATGTATGATTATGTTCAATATTTGAAAAGCTATTTATAAAAATCAATAAAGTTTCAGCAGAAATATTTTTAACCATCAGCTATCATATTTAAATATTTTGTTAAGCTATTGATGAGAAAACCCGAATAATTTATTTCAATACTTATGTAAGCAAAAACAAAAAAATATTCTTTGTTATAAAAATCAGTCAGTAAAGTTGAAGTCATTTGATTTATGTGAGATGAATGATGACGTGATTTTATTTTTGATCTTAACAAGTTATTAATTCGATCTAAGATCTTCTCAAATCGAGTTTTTATGATATTCTTGGACATTCTTTGAGGTAAATAAAAAAAACCACATTGAACATCGAAATATTTTTTGCGAATTGAGAATGTGTTTGAAATTCTATAAAAAAAACACCAACACTTTGAAAGTTTCGTGATCTTCTAATTCTATTTTACCTATCATTATGTAATTGAAAACTCATTTTAAAAGAAAAATGAAATAAAGAAATTAAAAAAACATCCACAAATAAGATTCGTAAGATTCGCCTTACTTTCACTTCTTGTCATCTCGAAAATTTAATGAAGGTCACGTGTGACTCGCATTTGTTTTTTTAATTTTTTTGTATGGATCGTAACGGAACACAGACAAGAGAATAACTTTAACAATAAATCAAGGTCAGAAAGACTTACCATGTTCCGCCGAATAAATACATCTTCTTGCCAATCACTATACATGATTGTCTACGACGCGCTTTTGGCGATGTGCCGTGCGCTTCAATGAGGTGCCAAACATTTTTAACCGGATCGAAGCAGTGCAGGTCATTGAAGTGAAGATCTAATATTCCATTATATCCGCCAAATATCCACATCAATCCATTGTATACGACTGTTAAGAAGAAAAAGAGCCATTCGAAGAGATCATTAACATAAAAGTATAAATTTTGTCACTAATCTTGTCACGTTTGACGACCGTCTCCAATCGTCTGCAGATCGCGCATTAATAATGACAATAAAATCAAAACTAGATGAGTTGACATTTTTGCGTAAAAACAAATTCATAGATATAAGACAAACGCGATCAAAACATAAGTTCTGAAAATAAAATTCGCAGTTTTCCTTACGGTAAACGATTTTTGAGGAACTTGTTTAACTCGTTTTTGCTATTCCGCTAAAATCACTTTGACCGTTGGGCAAAAAATGTCACAGTAATGACATGATGATATAACAAACAGCAAACATAGGTTTTCAAAAGTACATAATTCGCTATTGATACTCACTTAATTCTCATAGCCGATTAAATCATTCAAAAGTAAAACATTTTTGGTTTCATAATTTCAATTTTAAACATTCGATGTTTTCGTGTATTAAGCTTTAAAGCCATCAATTAAAAAGACTTTTTTTCTCTTTTATAGGCATCGAAAGTAAGAAATACTTTTTCAATTTAAAACACAACTTTGGGTTACATTAAACAGTTAACATCTCACACCTTTTTTAGCCTTTAATGAAGCTTTACAGCATTAAATTTTAAGACTTTTTTCTTCGATTTCTGCACAACGACAAGAGCAACAAGTCATAAAAATTTATTTCATTTTTATAACAGCTACAAAGTTTATGAAAAGTCGCTTTTGTAAAGAAAAACTTGAGAAGGTTTTATTAGTTTTCAAAAACAAAAAAACACAGGGAAAAGATGCGCAAAACGAACAGAAGTTTTAATCATTAGAAAAGGTTAAAGTTTAACGAATCAACTATGGAAGTCAACTTTGTATCTAAATACCAAAGATTTTTATTTATTGCATAATGAATCGATGTGATAATTTATGCGATCTTTTTTGTAGTTTTTTTTTTTTTGCATGTAAGAGTTTGAATGAATTCAGGTTCAATATCATTTCATCGAAAAGAAATAAATAGCAAAGAAAACAAAATCATTAACGCAGATCTCAGCATCGAAATGATTTTTTTTTAAACGGGAAGATTTTACAGATTGAAGCGTGTTTTAAATGTGACAAAATTGACTCAAATTTGACACGTCGACACCAAGCTCTGATTAAATATACAATTTTATTTTCACAGCCTTGAAAAGAGATTCTTGTGTTTACGAAAGAAAAAATAAATGAAACGAGGGAAACGCGAAAGTATTCGTAGTTAGTTAAAAAGACTCTCAGTTTTCGCATAGTTCGTCTCGTACAATTTTCAGGCCACCATGGATAAAAAGACTCGTTTTCAAGCACATAGATCGCAAAAATTCCATTAAACAGCAACAGCAGGTTTACTGTTTCCATATACCAATAAATAAATAAGTAATTACATTGTAAAATATTCATGTTCATTCCAATCGGAGACATAATTAAAGTTTCGTTTCAAAGACGAAATCTGACGATGCACTCAAAAGACACTTAAAGTGCAATCAAGAGAACTTAATGTTGTTATTTTACTTTTCTCTCTTTCTGTCTCACATAATATCGCGATTTATGCTGAACTAACAATACACGATTGAGTATTTTTCTTTACATGTCGATGCAGACTGACTGCTATACTTATGATGCAATAGTGATGAAGTTGTTCGTTTTTAGCGAAGAAATATGAAATGATTGGAGACTTACATGCACTATGTGACCTTCGTCCGATGGGTTCTTTGTTTGTTGTCAACGGCATAATCCATTGATGGGTTTTCAAGTCTAAATACACGATTTTTGGACAGTAAATATCATCTTGTGAATGATAAGGCGAATGTACGTCACCACGTCCTCCAAAAATGTACATACGATCATTTATCACAGTAGCAGTATGAAAGTCTCGATACGAAGGTGGTGAGCCGAAGCTGTTGGAAAGCGAATTTATAATCAAAATATTAAACGAGAATTTTTTATTATATTATGAAACTTACGTATGAATAAATCTCCATTGCATTGTCAGCAAATCAAGACAATGTACATCACACGAGAATTGATCCATAACTTCTTCAAAGCCACCAAATATGTACATTTTTGAGTCAACAATACAAGCTGAGTGTCCATCTCTCGCTTCTGGTAAGCTTCCACTAACTTTTGGTGTTTCCCACTCAAGAGTTTTTGTATCAAAGCAAAAAAGAATATCACAAACCTGTGGAAAGTTTATTTTTATATTTTTTTTAATTACACAATCATTAAATTAAGTAACCAAACTTACCATCTCATCATTCCGGCCGCCAAATATGTATACCTTGCTTTCATATGCAACAGCCGTATGTCCTACAATGACAGTTTTTCATTACTTATTTATATTTTAACCAAGAAGACGTGAAGAAAAGTAAAGCAATAAAAGAAATCGCATAAAAAGAAATTGAAAGTTTGTTGTTTCGGGCTTCTTTAATTATATGCAAAAAACTGTTATCTTGGATTTTAAATGAACTTTAAAGATTTGTCACTAAACGTTATATTAATCTTCATTTAATTTAATTTGTTTTTATCACTCACCGTATCTTTGGAAAGGAACATTTGGATACGCTTTATCTTTTTTTGTTGGAAGCAATGACCAGCGTAAATTGTTTGTGTTCAAAACATGAACATCCATAGGTCGAGAGAGTTTGTAATCTTCACCGGAACAATAACCACCGAACGAATAAATAAAATCTCCGATTGCTACACTTGCATGGTTAACTCTTCTTGGACCTGAAGAAAGTCATAAAAACATCAAAAAACATTTCAAAAATGTTGTCTTGTGAAAAAAGAAAGATAAGATCATTATTATCATGTCTGCTGCACTAATTGTCCCAGACGTTCTTTAGACTGTTATTTAAATATTATCTTTTTCTGTTCCTTCTTTAATATGTTTGATTAATTTACAGGTAAAAGAAAAAAGTCACAACGATGTTCAAAATTGAAAACACCTTGTCTGAAACATACAAAAACACTTTGCAAAACTAAGTAGATATCTTTAATAAACTCTTTGGTGAGACTTTTTTCTATACATTTATTAGTGAACAATTTTTCCACTCCATGTGATTACATTGTCTGCCTTTCGTATTTATTTATATCTTGAATAGAATTTTTTAAATCTTCACTTTTCTCTGTTTATTTAATAATGTTTTCATAATCACTGGCACTGACATTACTATTCCAACAACTGAAGATATTATTTAACACTAAAAACCCACCTCCGTCCAAAGCTGTAGTCCAAAGAACCATTTGATAATTTTTATTTAAATTATTCCTTTTTCGGCTAAAAATCTGTTTTTCTATAAAATTTTCATTTGATTGGTGAACAGAAAATCGTGGGTTTTAGTATCACGACTATTAATTAATGGACAAAGAAAGAATAGGTCAGACTAAAAAACTAAAGAAACTAAATCACAAATATAACTTGTTGACTACGCGAGAATAAATGTATGAATGAAGGAAATAAAAATGAGCTTCAATTTCAAGCAGATTTCTAGCAGTCGATCCGAGAAAAGCATGAAAAATCAAGAAACATATTTTGATAAGTTTTGAAATAAGCTGCAGTAAAAGAGATTAAAATTAATATTGTGAACAATATTTTGTAAAATTATGTAGAGTTTAATTCATGACTTTAATTATTTATTCTATTTAATAACTGAATTTAATTTCTAAATTTGTTGGATTGTTCATCCAGTTACTTTAAATATTTTATGACCGTTAAATTTTACAACAACTTTTGCTTCTAACAAAAAAAACCTGCTTTACAAACTTTAACAATTTTTTTCATTATGGTGTCTTTGGAGTTTTAACACAAATGTTTTAATAATTGAATATATCATTTGCTTCAAGGATGAACGAAATTTTCCTGATTGCGAAATTATTCAACGATTTATCCTGATTTTTTGAGGCTATTGAAAAGAAGAAAAACTATTAAATTAATTTTCTTCTTTCTTTTTTCTCCCTTTTGTCTCCCCTTCCTTATTGCTTTTTGGACATATGAAGTTATTTAGGTAGGATTGCCATAAGTGAAAATAATTTCGTGCTAAACCAGTTTGGTTTGATAAAAAGGAAGTCGTAGATTATTTTGTTATCAGCAGCAACTTCATTTACACTTAACATCCATTCAATGTTCTCTTCTTCATCTTGATTATCTTAAATGAAAATATTTTTTCTTTAAATGCATTTCATCTTCAAGTAGAATGGCAATAAAAGTGAAAAAGGATTCAGATCAGCAATGATATCAATTCCAAATTGATTTTATTTGAAGATTCTGATCAGAAGATAAAAAAAAGATTTCCAACATGCTGTGAGTGTCGTTATTGAAATTTGGCAAATAAAAACTTCAACTTAACTCAACGAAAACTTCTTCTATGTAATGAACAATGTTAATTTTTTGTCATTAAACTTTTAATTAAATTTTCCTGAATGTCAAAACAGTTTTCATGAAAATTTTCCGTTTTGTTTCGAAACAAACATTAGAACGTCGCCAAATTTATTCAAAAGTGTAATCCACGCTGATCTCTGTTTCTGCAATAACATTTGACTTTCAAATTCACTTCCAGCTGTGATTGGATTAAGGACATGCTCCGACCTGACATTCACAACTCACTCAGGATGTTGCGAATACATTTTTCATTTCACGTTTTTCCCTTGCAATTGATTTTGATGGCAATGTTGATATGTATAAAGATAGATTATTTCCTTCTTGAATAAAATTATCGTTAATCGAAAGAACGACGTTAATAATTTTTTAAGTAGTTTAAGATTATTCAGTCTAACGATGATCTATGATCAAACAGAATAATAAAAATTCATCTAACAAGGTGAAGAATTTTCTTTTGTGATCTCTCATACTTGAAATTGTTTAATGATCTGCAAAATAACCAAATATCTCCAACCTTTTTTCCGTTAATAAAATTGATTCCACTCAGAAGCCTAGTGGGAGTCGCAAACACACAAACAAAGGAGAACGTGAGAATGGAATGGGAGAGAAAAAAGCGCGAAAGCCGTCAGTGAATCATCTTTACTACAAATTCCTCAGATTGCCATCAGCTTCGTAACTGTGAGGAGGTAAAAAATGTAAAAGAATTCGATCGAATTTCTTAGAATCACATTGGCTTTGAATTCCAAAACATTTTCTCTTCTACATTGATCTCAAGAGAAGACTTTTTAATGACTATTATCATCATCGTGTGCTTCATTCATCTTTCATTCATGAAATGTTTCGCACATGAATCATGAGCCTTTTCAGCATATTTCCTGGTATGTACAACGCAACATGTTGCGGTAAATTTATGTAAGTTTAATCACCAAAAATATTCATTCAAACCAGCCACTTGTTCAGTTTTTTTAAATCTTTTGCAAGCGACTGACTATTCCAAGAATTATGCGTTCATCATAGACTTAATTTTGAAAGCGTCTCGTGAAACATGAATCACCGAAGCCGAAAGAAATATTAAATATCTACAAAGGTTCAATGTGAAGTCGATGACGAAAATTGTAAAATAAATTTAGAAGGTTTTCGTGAATAACGTGAATTAAATTACATCGAGAAGTTATCAAGGTTTACATAAAAACTTTCTTTAATTATTGAGATTTCTGTACCTAATAAAATCTAAATCCTTTGCCGCCAATCTTTAACCGCAAAAATTATGCAAACACACTCTCAAACTATTTGCATACCGACTTCGTCTCGACTTAAACAAGACAACTTTGAAAATAAAAAAGCGAAACAAGATGTTTTTAAATGAATCACAAATTAAAATCCATGATCAATAAAAAAAAATTCCGAGAATTGTAAGCCAGCTTCAATTGAGTGCAAAAGTTGGTCTAGGAATAGGAAGTTGCTTGAAAGATGGATATTTACGTGCGAATGGATATTCGACAAGCATAATTATCTGTTTCTCACAAAGCAAGCAAGCAAGCAAGGAATATAAGTGTGAGAATGATTCACCATCGTCATTCATATTTTCATGAATGAATAATACGCGATTAATCATCAATGTCAGAAAAAGAAGAACAAGAAGAAGAAAAAAAATACTACGAAGCTTTGATAAGAGTAATAAAAAGCCGAAAGTTACATAAAACTGTGCAACTTTCGTTTATTTGTGTTTGTCATGACGCAGCATTCGCAAGTCGCGATCGTCAATTCATTTCACATGTGACGAACGTTCGTTCTTAAACCAACACAAACAAACGAAACATGTTTGAACGTGTTAGTTTTCAGTTTCTTTTCATACCGACTAATTGTGAAAACCGCAAGATCGTTTTTGACTCGCTGAAATCGATTTCAGTTGTAAAATATCGTTCGGTGCGTTGCTTTTGAGTCGCGCTTTTTTAATTTTTCAACTGGCGACTTGGCGCGTCTTGGAAACAAAAATTATTGTCTTTCAAAAATTTCTTAGAACCAAAATCGGCATGTTTAAAAGTCAATAATCGCGTGTGGGCTTTGCGCAATAATCGTGAGAAAATAAATCCTGATCAATTCCGGGATCAAAGTGAAAATATTCCTTGGAATAAAAATGTGCAGAAGTGTTGAGAATTTGAAAACAAATTGAAATTTTGAGAAGCTTTAATCGTTGTTCGGAGATGGAAGAGAAAGAGAAGCTGAACAATGTGACAAAATGTAGACAAAAAATAACAAACCCTTTTGCTCTTGTGCTTCCAAGATGCAAAGCGACGACACTGATAAGCTTATAAGCTGTAATGATAGTAAAAATATTATTGAAAGTGATGATATTTGTGATAATGTGGAAAAACCCGAACGTGAATCATCACCGGATATTGAAGATGAAATTATTTTTGTTCCAAACAACCCAAAATCATGGTCGGAAAAAGACATCGAATTGTGGATTAAATGGGCAACAAAAAAGTTTAATCTTTCTCCGTCACTTGACGTGACTCGTATCCCTAAAAATGCTGAAGATCTCGCGAAATTCACTAAAGCGGAGTTTTATATCGCTTGTGGATCATTTGATGGCGGAAAAAAGCTTTCGCAACATTACAAATATTGCATGGAAAATGCAAATGAATGCTGTGATGAAACACTTTTGACTAACTGTGATCCAGGTGAGATTTTATTTCAAAGAATTTTTAATTATCATCAACGGATTGAATAAGTTTGTTGATATTTATTTAAATAACTTGATAACACGAGGCTTATTTAACACTTGCTGCATTATTCTGATGCAAAAAATATAATTGCAATGCATAAAAGCTAGATTGTTGCCAACTTACTACAATTTTATTTTAGAATCTTTGTAAATACAGTTTCTATGTATTCTCAACTGCTTCTGATTCCTGCTTCTAATAGAAATTAACATTTAAAGTCTATAAACAACATGACAATGTCGACGTTCAAAGATTAAACCTCTCATGAATTTTGTTATGTTTACCGTCGCATCATTATCAGCAGCAAGGGAAAAACGTGAAATGAAAAATGTATTCGCAACATCCTGAGTGAGTTGTGAATGTCAGGTCGGAGCATGTCCTTAATCCAATCTCAGCTGGAAGTCAATTTGAAAGTCAAATGTTATTGCAGAAACAGAAATCAGCGTGGATTACACTTTTGAATAAATTTGGCGACGTTCTGATGTTTGTTTCGAAACAAAACGGAAAATTTTCATGAAAACTGTTTTGACATTCAGGAAAATTTAATTAAAAGTTTAATGACAAAAAATTAACATTGTTCATTACATAGAAGAAGTTTTCGTTGAGTTAAGTTGAAGTTTTTATTTGCCAAATTTCAATAACGACACTCACAGCATGTTGGAAATCTTTTTTTTATCTTCTGATCAGAATCTTCAAATAAAATCAATTTGGAATTGATATCATTGCTGATCTGAATCCTTTTTCACTTTTATTGCCATTCTACTTGAAGATGAAATGCATTTAAGAAAAAATATTTTCATTTAAGATAATCAAGATGAAGAAGAGAACATTGAATGGATGTTAAGTGTAAATGAAGTTGCTGCTGATAACAAAATAATCTACGACTTCCTTTTTATCAAACCAAACTGGTTTAGCACGAAATTATTTTCACTTATGGCAATCTCACCTAAATAACTTCTTATGTCCAAAAAGAAAAATAAGAAACAAAGAAAAGGGGAAGAAAAAAGTAAAGAAAGTTAATTTAATAGTTTTCCTGCCTCAGAATCAAGATAAAGTCGAAATAAATCGTTGAATAATTTCGCAATCACCAAAGAAAAATTTAATTCACCCCTGAAAATGTTTTTCCTTCATCTCCAGTGAAAAATCGCATCTTAATTCCTAAACAAACAAAAAGAAAAGCCAACAATCGTGGGAGTATGACTGAGACGGAAGCAGCGACGGAATCAACGCTTTAGTATGAAACAAAAGGGAAGGAAATAAAGTCTGTGCGTGTTTGTATGTGTTAACAGTGGAAGCGGAAAATCTTTTGTGTTTTTCCGCAAGCTTTTCCGTCCTTTTTCGCAATCCACTTTGAAAACAATGTATCAAGTCAGTCCTTTATTGGCCTTTGACCTGTTTAAACGTTGATTTTTTTCCTGGAATCTCGACGCGTTTCACATGGAAGTGAATAAGAATCGGAAGACCTTGAAGAGTTTTTAAGAATAAAAAGTGACTAACTAAATATGAGTGTTGGATTAGATATGTGGCGCTTTTCTGATGATATAAATACAGCGCGAAGATTTAATGCCGTGGCACGCATGCAACCTCATTGTCCCGTGATTTACAGTGGTAAATAATTAAAGTGATTCACCCAGTTAATTGGCATTACTTAGAAATTTATTTAGCAATATAAAAGCTGTAAATGTCAAGAAGAAAAGTCAAGAATAAACTTGCGGAAGAAGTATTGTCATTTGTTTTTCACACACGGAATTCTTACACACTCAGTTTGGGGATTACCCGAACACTTCACCGCTTATAAAAGAATTGCAATTCATTCAATTTTTGGTGAAAAATACTGCGTGAAGTGAATATTAATGAATTGATTATTGACTAGTGAAAAGAATGTTAGAACGCAGAAAGTGTTTTGTGTTTTGAAGTGATTTATATTGGCGTTTGGAAGAATCTTTTGTATTCATTGAAGTTTTATTCAGGAAAGGATGAAATTAAAGGATTTTTAAGGAAAAAACATATTTAAGGAAAATATCCTGAAAAAAATATTTTTAATTCATAAAATGGGGGAAAAACGGCACAAAAATTCTCATTTTATTTTGTCTATGATTCTCGTCGTTCATCGAATGGTTGGAAGGTTTTATAGCGAAGTTATTTAAACGTTTTTCCCCACTTTATTTCACTATTTAGATGTGTGAACTAGACAAATCTTTTAGTTGTTTCAATAAAAATATAAACCATTGTTAAATCTAAATTTAACTATTGGAAATTTTCTATTAAATTAAGTGTGATTTGCTGTGCTGATATTCTATGATAGAACATATGTAAAAACCCAAAAACCACAATCGAATAGACAGAAATAAAAGAACCAAAAATTTGGATTAACAAGGCATTCAATAACACGGATATCAAACCATAACTAATTGAACATATTAAAAATTAATCTCAAACAGATCTCAAAATTTATAAAGTGTAAAGAAGTGAATTAAACATAATAAAGAACAAAAACATGGCGCCATTAAATTTTCACTTCCATTTGATATTTTGGAGATAAAAATTCCGAGAACTGTCTCATTATATACAAATGAAGAATCTTACAATACTTTCAACAATCATCATATCCAACTCAAGCCCACGCGAGCAGAAGGAAGATTATTTATTACTTTAAAGTGTCGACTTGAAAAATATTTTTCTTCTTCTTCTTATTCTAATTTTTTATTTTTATTTTTCATCTGTCTTAATTATATTATTTTTTCTTCATTCCTTTTTGTTCTTCTTCTCCACAGATCCATATCAACTTCTCAATGCCACGCATAGATTGGTCGCTCAAGGGTCGGGTCAAATTCAACTGTGGCAATTCTTATTGGAACTGCTCGCTGATTCGTCGAATTCTGATTTCATAAAGTGGGAAGGTACGTTGTGCGTTGAACAAAACGAGTAAGAAGAAAAATAATCGATTTTCTTTTCGAGTTTTGCTATAAAAAGGCCGCGAAAGATTTAAGCGCAACTTAATGTAAATATTTATGTTAACTCCATTTTAAAACTTTATTAGGAACTGCTGGTGAATTTAAATTAATCGATCCTGATGAAGTGGCTAGAAGATGGGGCGTAAAAAAGAATAAAACAAACATGAACTATGATAAGTTGAGTCGTGCTTTGAGGTGAATTATTTTAATAAATTTTAAGAAAAGAATATTTAAAAATTAAAACAAAACACTCCAATTAGATATTATTATGATAAATCAATAATGACGAAAGTTCATGGAAAGCGTTACGCTTATAAGTTTGACTTTCACGGATTGATGGCTGCATGTCACTCACAAGCTCAAGGATGTGATTCGACAAATTCAATGATACCGAAATATCATCCACATTTGTTAATGACTTCGAATGAATTTGGTAACTATGCAAGCACTTCATCAGGTAGCACATCGGCGGGATCAAGTTTCAAACCAGTACAGACATCCGTTCCCATTCCATCAACTTCGTCAATCACACAACCTGTAACAAACTCAGTCATTTCAACGCCAGATAGAAGTAACATTTTCTGGCCATATTCACCCTTCGACACAAGACCACCATCAAATTTTTAATTCCTTACAATTAATGAAGCAAATTTCATTATTAAATGAAAGAAAAAGGCTAATTTGATCTCAATTTACATGTGAAAGAAGAGAAAGAAAAAAGGATGAGAAAAGCTTCATGTAAATGTGGTTCCCTTTTCAATGTCCTTTGTTTTCTTATTTGTAAAAAAGATTTTGTGACCTTTTAAATTTATTAGAAACTTTAATTTTGAGGATTTGAAATCTCTCTTCTTTCCTTCTAATTAAATAATTGAAATCTCGCTTTTCAGGATCGAATCAAAATTAATTTTCACATTTAAATATCTCAGAATATAATTTTAAGAAAATACCTCAGAAGAACCTTTTTAAATAGTTTTTAATTATCATTAATATTATCAACAACGATGCTCAATCTTTTTATTTACTTAAGTTGTTTTTTATTTTTATCTTAAAGGAATTTTGTAAATTTCAATGAAAATTCATTCAATTTGTTGTAATAAAAAATGTTACTTAGAATAATTGTATTGTTCGACTTAATTATCAGAATTTATTTCATTCAAAAGCTTTTTCATTTCTAATCTGACGGCGGCAATTTTCCATTCCATTTTATTCTTCGCATCAATGAGCAATTTGACTTTTTCTGGGTGACTTATTAAGGAATCGGAGATTTGATGATCGGGGAAAAGTTTGCAGACTTCTTTGAATGCGAGAACTTTCATAAATTCATTATCGTAAAGATTTGCGAGCATCAACACTGACCAAGAATTCTTTTCATCAAGCATGTCAAGAACAAACTCTTCAGATATTTTCTTCAAATCTTCAACTTGATATTTAACGGCAGCTGCATAAAGATCCATTGCGTTAGTAGCTCGTTCCGGAATGTTTCGATTATAAATGAAGTCAAGAAACTCTTCAAATGTTTCTGGAGATAAATCATTCACTTCCATTTCATTTGTAATATTCTCATTTACATTCTCATGAGCAAACATTGCGCTAAATACACAACTGTTGACTCCCAAGATATTCTTATGAACTTTGAATGATTTGTTTCCAACTTTAATTGTGAAATCAGAAAAACGTTTGCTTTCCCATAATTCTCTGACATAAGATGACACTGCGGAGTATTCCATTGTTTCTGGTTGACACACATTTTCTATATCTTGTTTCAAAAGCTCCAAAGTTCCATTTGATTCGATTTCATATTTTCGATCAATGTTCACGTTACCTCTAAAATCTGCGAAAATTAATTTATCCAATGGCTTCAATAAATGTTTTCCGATGAGTACAATATCGTTATGTTTGAAGGAAATGATTTCCAATCGAGTTGTATAAGTAAACAGGTCTTGAGGAAGCGACTTTAACTTATTTTCCCACAACCACAAATCTTTTAAGTTCGGCATCGGCTTTAAATCATCTTTGTTGATTTCAGTTAAACCACATTCAGCTATTTCTAGTGCAGCTAGATTTTGAAATTCTTTGCCAATTGCTTGTGGAATGTATTTAATTAAACCATTGTGAAATGTTACTGCTTGAACTTTTTGATTTCCTTCTTCAGATTGACCAAATTCGATTTCAGCGTCGCGATCATTTATTACTACATTTTGCTTTATCCAATAAGTGTAATATACTCTATCAAATGTTGAATCTCCTTTCCATTGATTATATGAACATTCACGTAGAATCATCGCGTATCATTATTTAATAAGCAGATAATTGATTTAAAGAAGAGACTTGAATTGTTAGGATCACCAACAGAAGTAACTGCAATAATAAAATTTGAGTCTAGTACTTCATATTGCAAGAAACTAGTCCATAAATCTTCAGATTCTGTTTACATTTTCCAATTGTCTTCTTCTGTCAATTTCTTTTGTATAACATTTCAATTAAAGTAGATCTAAGAATGGAAAATCAAGAGTCTTCACCAACAGTCTTACCACAAAAATTTGGCGCTGGTCCTTACGGTTTAGGTGGAGAATGATGTAAATTTTGGTAGTAAAAAAAATCATTTCTTTCTACTTTTAGGTGATCCCGACGACAAATCATTACGTAGAGTTGAAAAAGAGGTAATGGTCCCGAAAGTTATGCGCGATAAAGCTAAAGTCGAGAAATGTCTTGAGGAGGTTCAAGCATTTGAATCCTGTTGTAAACAAAATTCATTGTTAATGGTCGTCACTTGCCGAAAACAAAACAATTTAATGAAAGAATGTTTGGCGAAATGGTATCAAGATGAAGTATTCAAGAAAGAATGTACAGAAGTTTATTTAAAAGAGAGATCTGAGTTTAGAAGAACTGGATTAGAAAAGAAACATCGTGAATATATTGCAAAGCAACACGAAGCTGGAATTGCATAAGATAGCCAACAATATTCAATAAAATATAAAATTAGGTATTTAGTTAAAAAACACTATTTCTGTTTCTCTATTTCAATTCTGTGTATAAATAATTCTTTGCATTGGAATTTGTCGATATTCTCCAAATAATCTTCTGGTTTAACATTTTTTGGGAAGTAAACTTCAACATAAAGAAGATTTTTTCCAGTTGTTTCAGCTACTCTTTCGTTTGTATGATATTCAATTGAGCTCTTTCTTTTTGCACCTTCTTTTGAAACAATTACAATGAATGAAGCATGATTTAAATGTGGTCCATGTTTGTAAAGTACTGAAACGAAAAAAATTGGAATTCAAGGAAATGGTCGGAAATTTAAAATTTTTAACTTACAAAAATGACCTCCAAACTTAATTCCTGACTTAATTACCCAGTTTTTACTTTTCAGATATAAATACGTAACATACCGTTCAACAAAAGATTCTTTCAGCTTACAGAACTTCCTCCAAAGTTCTTTTGTTGGTATGATTTGATTATCCAAATCTTGAATTTTGAGACATTCGATTATGTGATGTAAGAAGAATGCTTCTTCAGGAAATAGCACAAGAGTGTCAGAAATATTGAATGGATCTGAAACAGTCTCATTATTTACTTCAACCATTTCAGAATCACACTCGAAAGATGAATTTTCTCCGAACTTTTTCTTCCAATCTAAATGTCGTTTATATTCAGCTTCTGTTAATTTTGTAATATTTTTCTCTTGACCATATACTGTTGCTTGTCTTGGTTTTGGATTTATACCATAACATCCTGATTCATGAATAGCTTTAATTGAAGGATTATCAAATATTTCTACGTCCAATCCTGTAAAATAACCGACGGCCGAAACTCCAATTGGAAAAGGTTTTATGTCAATATTCTTTGCCTTAGTTTTAGATTTAATTGGTAGCATTTTTTTATGATAACAAAACTGTTAAATCATATTCTTTATGTCATTAAATTTTATTTAACTTTCGAAAAGTAAAACTTTTTACTTTTATCAATATTTTTTCAAAACAAACTAGTACGATAAAATTGTACTAGAATTGAAATAACTTTCAGCCAGTTTCGTAAATGCTGTCACATTTGAAATTCATAATAATCATTGAGAAGTCGTATGGAAACTTTTAAAAGAATTCAAATAGAATTTAAGCTAACATTTCAGATTACAAGTTTCCAATATTTCCTCCAATTCAATTGAAATCATTAAAATTGCATTGAAAGTATGAAATCAAATTGAGTCCCATCATTGATAAACTGTTTCCTCTTTATTCAGTCAGGTGACCAGATTCTATGAAGAAAATTCTCGTCGGAAAATCTGTGAAAACATAACTAAATCTCTGTTTAAAATATACTAAATTACATTTGATTCTTCGACATGGCTTCAAGCAACGTTGACGAACTTATTTCATCTCATCTTGATGAGAAAATTGGTAAATAAAACATAATCGATTAAAAATTTTGTTTTTCAAATTTTTATATTCAATTTTTTTATTTCTCAGATATGATTGCTGCTACCAGCGTTCTTCAGCAGCAAGCTAGTGACATCAGAGCCAACAAAATCAACTGGCAATCATACAATCAGTCGCAGATGATTTCCAATGAAGACTATCAATGTATCAGCGCTTTGGACAGTGACAAGAAATCGCAGTATTTGAAGGATCAACCTTATCAAGCAGCCAAGACGTTCCTCAACCTTTTGAGTCATGTCTCGAAGGACACCACCATCCAATACTTGCTCGTTATGATTGATGACCTTTTGACAGTAAGTTTAAGATAAAAGAAAAATCGCTTTTGTGATGTCACAAGTCTCATGATTTTAATTCAACTTGAAAATTGCAGGAAGATCGCTCTCGTGTCGAAATCTTCTTGGAGTATGCATCAAAGCGTAAAGAGAATGTTTGGGGACCTTTCCTGTCTCTTCTCAATCGTTCTGACGGATTCATTATCAACATGTCCTCGAGAATTCTTGCTAAACTCGCTTGTTGGGGACAAGACCAAATGCCCAAATCTGATCTTAATTTCTACTTGCAATGGCTTAAGGATCAACTCACGACTACTGTGAGTATTGTGTTCGACATAACAATAAATTTTGTTCAAAAAATGCTTCAGATAGCAAAATTTTTGTCATCAAAGTCACGCTTTTATTAAAAAGTAATTGTTTAAGTGTTTCATCTCTCACGTTATCATTACTACCACTACTTCTATAAAAAAATGGACAAGAAAACTTCATCATCATCACCGTTCGTTGTTATTGTTGATAAGAATTTCTATCACATGTTTCATGTTCTCTTTACTGACGCATCACTAAATTGAGCTAACAAGATACTAACACTCGATTTGAATACTTCAATAATCTTTCAACTAAACAATTTTAACCCGACAGAAAGATTCGAAGAAATTTTACTAACAGAATTTCAAAATATTTATTTACTGCAACTAAATTCATTAAAAAGGCGATCCAGAAAATTGTTCGTCGTCACAATAGTCTAATTTTTATTATTTTCTCTTTCTTTCTCTCTGAATATTTATTTAAAAAAATTAATTTTCAATAATAAAAAAAACGTAAATCAATTGTCTAACATAAATACACGCAAAAACATACAAACACGAAAAAAAAAATGAAAAACATTAAAGGCTGCGGCTTATGTCAAAGAGATGGAAGAATTATTGAAGCATCGGGTGCATAAAGATAAGGAAAATCATCATCACCATCATCACCACCACCTGTTTCATTTGCCAGGTCATCATCATGCAAATAAGGATCACCAAAGTCAACAGCAAGCGGCGGCTATGGAGAAATATCGTGAAGTGTCAAGTGCTATCGATGAGCCCTTAAATGGAGCACAATCGAGTTCATCTACGAGCTCGACTTTAAAACTAACGGTCGGTAGAGAATAGTGTGATAATAACAAGATGAAACATTTATTTCAGGAGAAATTTTTAGATAATTTCTTTGCGCAATCTTTTGATGCTTTCAGTAGTTTTGAGAAAAATTTACAATAAGCGCTTGCTTTGTTGTCTTTGCATTTTTATTAATGAAATTTCTTTCTTTTCTGTTAGCTTAATTGCAAAAGTATTAATTCATTTTATTGAATCTAAATTTAGAACAATGAATACATTCAATCAGTTGGACGTTGTCTTCAAATGATGTTACGTGTTGATGATTATCGTTTTGCGTTTGTTTCTGTTGATGGAATAAGCACATTGATTTCAATTTTGTCATCACGTGTCAACTTCCAGGTAAGATTTCCACTTTTTTAAGTTAATCTCAATTTATTTAACAAATGAATGTCATTCCAGGTCCAATATCAGCTTGTTTTCTGCTTGTGGGTGTTGACTTTCAATCCACTTCTTGCTGAAAAGATGAACAAGTTCAATGTCATTCCAATTCTTGCTGACATCTTGAGCGATAGTGCTAAAGAGAAAGTGACAAGAATCATTCTTGCTGTATTGAGAAACTTGATTGAAAAGCCAGAAGACGCCCAGGTTGCTAAGGAACATTGCATCGCTATGGTTCAATGTAAAGTTTTGAAGCAACTTTCAATTCTTGAACAACGTCGTTTTGATGATGAAGACATTACTGGTGATGTTGAATTTCTCACTGAAAAACTTCAAAGCTCCGTTCAAGATCTTTCGTCATTCGATGAATATGCAACGGAAATCAAATCAGGACGTTTGGAATGGTCACCTGTCCACAAATCAGCCAAATTCTGGCGTGAAAATGCTCAACGTTTGAATGAGAAAAATTATGAATTGTTGAGAATTTTAATTCATTTGTTGGACACTTCAAAAGACCCATTGGTGTTGTCAGTTGCTAGCTATGATATCGGTGAATATGTTCGTCATTATCCAAGAGGAAAGCAGTAAGTTTATTTAAAGATTCTTGTACTAAACTTTTCACAGGAGAGCTTTTAGTTCTAAAATAGTTCTAAAAACTGAATTAGGGTAAATGGTTAGTCTGTTACAGCCTCGAAATCGTCGTTAGTGTGTTACAGTTTGCACTAAATTCAATTTTTAGCCTGTTTTCATTTAAAAAGTTACGCTACTAATACGTCTGAGTGATAGCTTCATGTAACACAACTAACCAAATTTAGGTTTCGGGAAAAATTTAATTTGATGATAAATTAAGCAACTCTTCTGAAACTTTAAAAAGCAGAAAGTTGCAATAATAATCAAAGAATCTGCTGTAGAAATTGCAGATTTTTAGGGCAAGCGGTAGTTGTGCTTTTTCCATTTGTGTAGGGTAGTATTTTGTTAAGCCTTATTTTTGTAACAGACTAACCATTTACCCTAATTCAAATTTTCAATTTTCCCAGTGTCATTGAACAATTGAATGGCAAACAATTGGTGATGCAACTTCTCGGACATGACGATC